AATTTCCTAGTGCCTCAGCTCCTTTCACTAATAGCACAAGTAGTTCCCCACAGGGACTTGGTGGAGAGAGGTTGTTGCTTTCCTTGTGTCAAATATTATATTTCCTTTTATGAAACTTTACATAGTATCAGGTCAACTGTGGACCTAATTTTTTAGACTGTCTATCGTTGAAAAGCTGTCTTTTCATACTTCCATTATTGCTAGTGTCTTACTCTATTTTAACACCGTGTGGCATAGAACTTGTACCGTTGCTAATATCTACATCCCAAACTCTCAAGACTTTTATAATTAAAGAACTGTCACGAGCATCCCTGAGCTGCCATAGCGCAAATTCTAGGCTCTATAAGCATCTATTCAAAGAATTTGAATCTCTTTGAGTCCATAATTTCCATGCAAATACAGTAACTTCCCTTTGTAGCTATCATGGAACAAGAAAAAATACTTTTGTGCAGCAGTAACATATAGAGCAATACCATCGCCCACTGCCATGGTTCCTACAATCCAGCGCCTCCAGTCTTTGTTTTATTTACACACAAGGAAAAACTGGCTAGATTAAAATGCTAGGATCATATAGTGTCTCTCTCATAACTAGGTATTGGGTCATTTCCTCCTGAATTTTACGAGGAAAAATACAGCTGTCTCAGAATCCTCGTCCTTTTCTGCTTGAATAATTATTATTATATTAAAAATTATAATATATATTATTGTATTAAAAACATTTTGCCCTTTATCTGTGAAATGTAAACATTTCATCCACATGTATGCTGGTATAGCTTATGCTTTTCTAATTTTTCTGAAATTGAACTCTTCCAAAAATTTAAAACTTTTAGCTTAAGAAATTTTCTTTGGTACATTTAATGTCTCTATTTTTTAAAATCTTGATTTAGGATGCTGTTTTCATAGATAAGCTTTGTCCTCTTAGTTCTGAAGATATTATCTTTTTCTTGTTTTATAGAATTTTTGTTTCAGGTGCCCTTTATTGGGTTTTATATGCTCACTCCTCTTCAAATGAAAAGATCTTTATTTCTTCCTTCATTTCATGATTTATCCAGTAGTCATTCAGTAGCAGGTTGTTCGGTTTCTTTTTATTTGTGCAGTTTTGAGTTTCTTAATCCTGAGTTCTACTTTGATTGCACTGTGGTCCGACAGAGTGGTTGTTAGGATTTCCATTCTTTTGCATTTGCTGAGGAGTGATTTATGTGGTGCATTTTAGAGTAAGTGTGATGTGGTGCTGAGAAGAATGTATATTCTGTGGATTTAGGGTGAAGAGTTCTATAGACGTCTATTACGTCCTCTTGGTGCAGATTCGAGGTCTAGTCCTGGATATCCTTGTTAATTTTCTGTCTTGTTGATCTAATATTCTATTTAGAAGTAGACTTTTCAATGTGTATGTGAACTCAATTAACCTTAGCCACTGTTTAAATTTTGATTGGGTACATGACACGTACAGGCATGCAATGTGAAATAAGCACATCCTGGGGAAGGGACCATCCATCCCCTCAAGCATTTATCCTTTTACTTACAAAATGTACAATTAAGCTATCAACAAGAGGGTCTTACTTCTTCAGTAACCTTTGGTTACTGACAGATAGAGTGGTCTGAAGCCAGGGGTGTGGGGATGCATAGTCCCTAGACTAACTTCATCTGAACTAGCTTGGTTCCCATTACCACATTTATGTACTTCAGTGACTACCAAGAGGAAGACATCCTGAAGCCCTTATCCTTCAGGATGCATTACTCCCTAGTCTCTGCCTGCCTATAATGCCTGCTGGGAATACACACTTTGGGAGAGAATCTTTTTTAGGCCTCTCTCTGCTACACAGTCATGTTTGCTACTAATCAGGATGCATGAATAGATTTGAGAGATGCTGATGGGTCCAGTTAAACAGATAATGACTGTCGGCATGTGAAACAGTTCTCAGACATTAGTTGGGGTTGAAAGTCGTTTGCCTTGTTTTCCCCTAACTGCTGTGAGTTTCCAGGTAGGAACGAGTAACAGTGGTTGGCCAAATCCACATGCTACCTATTTCCCAAGTTCTGCTCCTGTTTGACAGTCTACCCCATTCTCTGTATTGCAAAAGACAAGTTCAGTGGAAAGCACCCAGAACTGAAAATAAAAGTTACCACTAATACTGCCCCTATTATTGGAAGTTGTTCAAAATACCAAGTCTCAGCTTCTTTATGTCTAAAACAAAAAGACTGGAGCAAATGATTTCCAAGACTTCCTCTAGCTCTAAAATTTTTCTTTAAAAAAATCTATATTTTTCAATCCTAAAATATTTAAACAACTTAGGATAACTAAATTTCCCAAAGCCATTCTACCTACATGGTGACTTACCTCAAGGATTTCTTATTAATCTCTGATCAATTTCTCAGCAACACACTTCAGCGAACTGTAGTCATGAAGACTCAATATAGGTAGTAAATATAAGCTGTCTTGCCGGGCCTGTAATCCTAGAACTTTGGGAGGCCGAGGTGGGTGGATCACCTGAGGTCAGGAGTTCAAAACCAGCCTGGTGAAACCCCATCTTTAAAAAGAAAAAATATATAAGCTGTTTCAATTAGCAGTATGTTTAATATTCATAGAGTCCAAGGAAACAAAATTAAGTATGTCTTTACATAATTGCTGTGGAGTTGGTGACATATACCAATGTTCCAGTCAATGATGTAGTGCATTTCAACAGTGGTCCCATAAGATTATAATGGAGCTGAAAAAATCCTTTCAGTATAATAACATCGTAGCTCAACACACGTCTGTGGTGATGGTGTAAATAAGCGTGCTGTACTGCCAGTCATAAAAAGTACAGCAATAAAATTATTTACAGTTAGAAAAGACTTCATCTGAACTAGCTTGGTTCCCATTACCAGATTTTAAAAGCGACGTGGAGGGTCCTGACCATGTGTAAGCCTCAGCTATGTCCGTCCCCCACCCCAACCTATATTTGGCATTTCCCCCTGTCTTATCCCTCCCCAACCTCCCCACTGCCTGCTGTCCCTCCTCTATTCCCCACCAACAGACCCCAATATGAAAAAACACACACTTAGAAAAATCACACACTGGTAGGGTGTATAAATGGAAGACCACAGACAAGCAATTTGAGAAAGGAAAAACTTATTGTATATGTTTAAAAAGTCCCTTCCTGGTCTTCCTCCATAACTAAGGGCAGCAAACCAAAACTTACATGTTGTTCTACTTAGAATGTTATGGCAAGTTGCAGCCCTTTGGCATGTAACAATCCAGGTTCACACAGCAGTAGTTACTTGTGCTGCTAGAAAATTATTCATTTCTTAAAGTTTCATTCTGCTCACATTAAAGCTTTGATTCAAAGCTCTATTCTCAGCTGGGCATGGCAGCTCACACCTGTAATTCCAGCACTCTGGGAGGCCCAGGCATGGTGGTGCACACTAATAGACCCAGATACTTGGGAGTTTGAGGGGGAAAAATCCCCTGTCAATTGAAGTGAGCTATGATGGCACCACCTCACTCCAGCTTGAGCAACAGAGCAAGACCCTGTCTCCGAAATAAACCAACCAAACAAAAAAAGTCTCTCCCAAAGCAGGCTATAATCGTGTCTTCAGTAGTACAAAAAGTAAATGAGAAACATGTGACCTCCTCTCATGCACACCTGCCCTCTCTCCCCTGCTGGTAGTCTTCCTGGTGGGGGGGAGGAAGGAAAGAAAAAAGGTGACTCCATTCAGTGGTGACCTGCGGTGGTGAGGCAGTCATTGTCTATTTGGCTAGTTTGAAGGGATGTTCTAATTCTTATGTCCAAAGTGACCACTTTCTATCTTCCAGTCCTTTTATCATCAAATGGCTGTGGCAAGGAGAGAGGCCCTTGTGGTGAATTGGCTCATCTCAGCAGGTTGTGTTGAAAGGGTCTAGCGGATGATTCTCTCACGACAGAAACGGAAAGTCTCTCAGAATCTTTTGTTCTGGGCTTTCCTTATTAATGTCATACATTGCAAATGAGATTGCAAAAGTTACGATCTCTATGGGTAGAAATTAAAATTCCACATAACTCTGCCAAAAGCACTATGCTTTTCAGAGCTTTACTGTAGATAAACTTGCAACATGCTAATGATTCATTATAGTTTATAATAGCAAGGAATTAAAAACAATTGAAATGTGGTTAATCTAATGGATTACAGGTCGAACATTACTGTTTTATTTTCCAAGCATGTAGTCTCTGAACATTTACTTTGTAGGGAGTTCAGTGATATTCTGGGCCATATAAAAGAAAGTGGCAGCTTTATCTACACTGAACTGCAATGACCTCCATGATATATTTTTAGGTGAAAAGATAAAGACATGGTAACGAATAGCTAAAGAATGTGCTTCAGTTTGGAGAAAATTCTCTATGTTCCTAAATATGTTAATGTGCATATACTAAGAGGTTGGTGTCATCCTCATTTTTTTTAATTTGTAAAAGTTTAAGAAGCTTAAGAAAATAGGATCATAGAATCGGTGCTGTGATTGGAATTCATGTTTATCTGAACCCAAATCACAGGCCCTTTCCAATATAGAGCTGACTTTTTAAAATGCTATCAGTAGATGTCACCAATAAATTACAACAATTTATTTATATGTTGATCTCTCCTGGCCAATGATAGTTTCATGAAGGTAGCTACCCTACAACGCTACTTTTCTGTTCCCAGTGCTCTGGTATGGCACACTGTAGAAAAGTTCTTAAAGTAATAAAAAGCAATGCTGCATCCTTGTGTGCAAGTAAGTGGCTAGTAAATTAACCACAAATTCTTTGAAACTCCAGATAGTAAACAGAGTGTCTTATGATTTCTGCAGGCCAAATGAAATTTCAGTTCAATGGGCTAATTATTACATCCAAGCCTGAAACTTGCATATTTATCATCTGCTATTTATCCTCTGCTATTAAGGGAAAAAATCATTTCCAATCATACATTTTAAGTCTTATGCATAGAATGAAAGTGTCCATTATTAACTAGTCTGAAAATTCAGGCCGGTAAACTTTGCTTACTTTCAGGTCATTCCTCCAAAGATGCAGTGGGTCAGATATCTGTTCACGTAGACATCACTGCCACCCCAGGAACCGGCGATCATAAAGTCACTGTAAAAGGTACAGTTTGGGTCTAAATAAATCAGACAGCCTACCAAACTTCTGCAGCATTACTGGTATCAGCAATGTAACTCTTTTTGCATTTAAAAACATATGCATAATTACTTTAGGGCATGCTCTAAATTTCCCAAAGAAATCCGAACTTTTGATCTGAAATAGAAAAATATCAATGGCACTGATGCCTAGCCTGCATTATTCAAGATTTTTAATACACTGATTAAATTTCCAAAGTTCAAGTCAGTCTGGTCTTAATATTCACCTAACCAATTTCTTTTTCTATGTGATTTCCAACAGCTGGCTTAGAGTTTTTTATAATGAGTGGCTCGATTTTGTTGGTTTTTGAATGCAGGGGTCATTTCAAAAATGAAATTAGAGGATTAACGTTTTGTTCAAAATACACTCATTCCATTTTTATATTACTCACGTCAATGCCCACTTTGAGCAAAAACAGGGCTGCCCACTATATTTCAGAATTGCATTACATATTGAATCTTTAAAAGTAAAATAGATCTATTTTAGAATAGATTGTAGACAGTACTATATACTGTCCATTTCCTTAAATATTTTTGAAAAATATATTGCCCACATGTGAAAATTTAATGAATCTTTTGCCAGTGTGCATTCCAGAGAGGAACTAGGATTTTACTGTCTTGGAGTACAGTGTCTTGTCATTGGGATCAGGGCACTATTAAATCCAAGTCATGGCTTTATAAATCACTTTTAAAAATACACTCTTAGTTTCCACACATTTGTTTGCTAACATGCGTATTTCCTTTCCTGTTTTAGTGATTGCTATTAATGACCTAAACTGGCAAACCACAGCAATGTTCCGCCCTTTCGTGGAAGTTTGTATACTGGGACCCAACCTTGCAGACAAGAAGAGAAAACAAGGAACAAAAACAAAAAGCAACACGTGGTCACCAAAGTACAATGAGACATTTCAGTTGTAAGTCATCAACCCACCTAACTTATTCCACCAGGCAATTGTTATTGTACAGCCGACCTTATGGAGGGAATCAGAGTGGGAAGGGCTAAGGAAAATGAAGAAGGTTATGTTTTTAGGTCTTTTCCATTCATTCAGTATTAGCCATGTTATTAGCCATGTATTAGCCAATGTTATAGTTACTGGGTGTATGTATCATAGGACATTTCTGAATGAATCTTTTGTAATGCACGCATGGAAGTTACTTTAGCATACATTCCTCATCTGTAGAAAGTCACGAAAATATTTCATATAATATTAAATACCATATGCAGAAATATTTGGTAAGTACTATGACTAGCTCCTTTGCCAGGGTGGTCAGGGAAGCCTCTCTGAGCCTGTGACTTTTAAACTGAAGAGCAGAACATTTCAGATGAAGGGAAATAGCTAGCCTGGCATTGTTTAAGCAGCAGCACATAAATAGGTATAGCAGTGAGATGCCATTCTAAGTTCAGTAGGTGAAGGCTTTTCAAATGAAGAGATGAACAATTTGACTTACACCTTTATCATGTTTGTTGTGTACAGAAAAATTATACAGCAGTACAACCAAATACGTAAAGATCGGTTAGAAGATTATTGCATTAGTCCAGGCACTAGCTATTAGTGACTCACCAGAACGTAATGGGGAGATAGATGTGGAAGATTCTGAATAACATATTGAAAGTAAATTCTTGCCATAGGCAGAACACGAAAGAGTAATCCCCAAGACGGCTCCATTTAGAGTAATTCAAAATGAGTTTATTTACAAAAAACTTTACAAAGTGGTAAGTATAGGGACCTGTGGCTAATAGACACCAGGCAGTTACCACTCTTATGCCTGGAAGGAAGAGAGGAAGAGTCAAAGTGAAAACTTGGTGTCTACTCAGCCCTCAGCCACCTTGAAAGCAGCACTGATATTCCATGGAGGCAAACAGCCTCACAGGCAAAGAGCCAGGGAAATAAAGACCTGACCTCACTCCACTCACTGCAGACCTCTTGATGGGGTTCCCTTTTGGCCAAAATCTACTGGGAGCAAGAAGAAACCCTACTGAGGTAGTCCCAACAGATGAGTTTACTATTTCAAACTGCAAAAAGCAGGGTGGATTCACAAGGGAGCAGGATGATTTTGGCATGAGTAGTTGGGAAGATAGTAATTTACCAAGATGGAAGATAAAAATTTTGTCAGGCTCTCAAAAGATGTCATTTAATTCTATAAATAATCTAACCTAGGAAGGGAAACAGAAGTTACAAGACCTAGGAAAAAGCCCTAAGGATTTACACAAAAACAGTCCGGTACAGGTTAGGATTTCTGTTCATGGTTTCCCATATTCCCTTCAGCACTCTGTTCTGAGTACTTCACTCTCTTATTATTTGTTAAAACTCAACTATCCTACTCTATCAAAAGGGTCCTAATAGATCACATTCCCTGCTAATAAAGCAGCTTACCACATTTCACTACTTACCCCAAAACCTGGACCTAGCTAAAGTTTCTTCAACATGTAACACAGTGAGACACTTTTTAATTCACGGGATTTGATTCCTATCATATTTTGCTCTTCTACTCTTATCCCCTAGGCTTTCATTTTCTTTCACATTATTTCGGATTTCTCTAAAGTGCCAAGTTTAGTTACCAAGGTTGCCTGCAAATGGAAGTTTAACTCTGCAAAATGTTTCATCAGAAAAACAGTCATTCGTAAAAGGAAGGAATTTGAAAGCTGGTTCTGCTGAGGGTTAAATGTACATTCATTAGAAAGTCAACAATATGAGAATGAACAAAAAATAAGGGGTGGAAGAAGACTATATCTACCATATCACTACTCAGCGTTCTTTATTATGTTCAGTTCTGCACTGACGAGCTGGAGGTTGTTAGGATAGGCGACACACCTGACCGGTCTAACTGTTGCCATAGGAAAGAATCACCAGGTTCTGCTGGATCTGATTACTCTAGAGAGCTGTATCCAATTTAGCATCTTGTGAATAGTGCTTGATGGGCTATGCAGTGTATTTCCCCAAGAAAAGACTCCTAGATATAATAGCTTCTCCAGGATTTGGAGGTAAAGTGATACTGAAATGGCATAGAATTCTACCAAGAGGTACCCATTACCTTGCCCTACTCTCCATGACCCTGTCCAACTCCATCGTACCCACAATCAGGAGACTCTGCCTCTAGCGATTAAGTACAACATTGTATCTTAATTCCCATTTTTTTCTGCCTATGGAAAAAGTCATTTTAAAATTAGCTTTCTAAGTGAAATTTAAGGGGTTAAAATACACTGATGTTCTATTTGCCAACATAATAATCAGATCCAATGTATACAACTTTCAGCAGTATTTTAGAACCATATTGGTGGTGTCTGTAGACATACAGGTGTCTTATACTGGTTCTAAAATAGGGTGCCTAGAGGAGGTAAAGTTTTTGCTCAAAATTTGTATTTTTAATCCACACAGCATTCTGGGAAAGGACAATCGACCAGGGGCTTATGAACTTCATGTCTCAGTTAAGGATTACTGCTTTGCCAGAGAAGATCGAATTATTGGAATGACAGTGATTCAGCTACAGAACATAGCAGAAAAGGGAAGCTATGGGGCATGGTATCCTCTTCTGAAAAATATCTCTGTGGATGAAACTGGTTTGACCATCCTTAGAATACTCTCTCAGAGGACCAGTGATGATGTGGCTAAAGAATTTGTAAGACTTAAATCTGAAACAAGATCTCCTGAAGAGAGTTCTTGAAACAAACACTGCAAGCTAAATTCGTAACTATAATTGTTTGACTACTGCATGCATGTGCAAATACAGGGGAATGTTTATTTCAGTACATTTCAATGTTTGCCAGTACTCATGTACAACGTCTACAAGGTATGTGAAAAACCTGCTGAACTTTTATACTAATTCTGGTCTTTGGAAAATAAATGTTCCATGAAGTGCCAAAATTATGATGTGAAGTGAAATATCAAGAACACCTTATAAAATTTATTTTGTTTCCTTACCAATTTCACATTCATTAGTTTTAAAAACTAGTCTTCTCAGTTTGCCCATCATTTGTCTTTGTTAAATTGGTTTATATTGCCCAAGGTATTGACCATAGATCAGAAAACATTTATTACTCAATTTCCATTTCATTTACTTACCTCATTATAGATGTCTTACAAATACCCTTTTCTACCATAACTAGAAATGCAGTCACTTCTAGAAAGCATTTGTAATTTTATAGTTGCAGATATATTGTGATTTTTGCATACAAATTAAAATAGAAAAGGTGGGAAATATTTTCTGCTGACCAGTTTCCAACCTTTCTGAAATATCACTGTGAAGAAATGCTATTAAAGCAAACTTACACAAAGCAATGCTAGAGTTTGTTAACAATGTTTGATATATATTGACAAAACTTTGTTCTTTAAAACTGCCAAGGTCACATCACATTTGTAAAAATGCAAAGTTGATGCATTTATCATATAGTGTTATGTCTTGCCTATACCATATTTCATTCTTTAAAAAGTCATTGGGTTAACAGTTTAGAAATGGGACGGAAAGTTTACTTACTAAAATACCTGTAAGTAACTATATTGTTGTTATCTTCCCTCTGACAGTTATGACTATTTCCTTAACTCTATAATCAGTTCGATGCTTTCTTTTAAAAAAAATACTCAATGATTATTACTGAATGCAGTATTATTATGTATTGTACTGATGCCAGAAGTCATGTTTTCATCCATTTAGTGAAAAAATAGTAAAATTAAGTTGGAAGAAATTGCTTACAATTTTGTAATTTGTACTTATAAGCCCTAAATGCATCAGATGCAGTAGAACAATGTAATACAGCTTGGTACCTAAAAATACACCTAAGTTGGTTTTTCACTATAAAACAGTTTATGAATATTTGCATTTTCTGTATTTTTATGATTTAACTTTTTAGAGTCTATGCCAAACTATATGGCTGTAAAAAACAGTACTTTGTAATTATAACTTATGGTCATAACTGTTAGTGGACTACTTACAGAAGCAGAAACAAGAACCTGTTATATTAACTGTGCTTCATGAACAAGCTGATCTAATATGTTAAGAACAGCAGATATTAGTATCATGACTGTCAGAACCATTCTGCTACTGACTGACTGTGAAATCACACACCAGTGAGGTTGGCTAATTCATGTTAAACTGTTCGGCCATTGCTTTGTTAATGACTTCTCTAAATACATAGCGTGATGCGATCCTCTGGCATATGCTTTAATAAATGGATGCATACTCAGCACATGCAGTATTGTACCTTCTGCCTTTTTATTTCATTTATGCAACATCATCTTATTATTTAGGAATACAAACTCCAGGCTCTTTTGAGAATATGTAATATATTTGTAATAATATTTGGTTCTAACATCCCATTAAAAGTTTAGATGTTAGAATGGCTACAATTAAAAAGTCAACAGATGCTGGCAACATTGTGAAGCAAAGTGTCTCTACACTGCTTGTGGGAGTGCAAATTGGTTCAGCTATGGTGGAAAGCAATGTGGTGATTACTCAAAGAACTAGAAGCAGAATTACCATTTGACTGAGTACATACCCAAAGGAATATCAAACACGTATGTGTATTTCCACTGCAGCACTATTCACAATAGCAAAGATATGGAACCAACCTAAATGCCCATTAACAGTAGACCACATAAAGAAAATGTGGTACATGAATACTGTGGCATACTATGCAGCCATAAAAAGAGTAAGATCATGTCCTTCTCAGTGTCTTGGATGGAGCTGGAGGCCATTATCCTAAACAAACTAACACAGGAATAGAAAGCCTAATACTACATACTAAATGACAAGGACGTATGGATGCTAAGGGGGAACAACAGACGCTGGCCAACCTGAGGTCAGGAGGAGGGAAAAGATAACAAAATATCATGTACTAGGCTTCGTACCTGGGTGACACACAATTTACCTATACCATAAACCTGGACATGTACCCCTGAATCTAAAATAAACAAAAGTCTGCAAGTGTTGTGTTCCTAAAACCACTATATATTGTAATGATGAAAATAAGGAAGAACTAATGTATCTACCTCCATAACGCTAAATGCCATTTAGCGCCATGAACAAAATTCAACATTCTACATTGTCAGAAACTTAAATTATAAAAAGTTTTCATCAATTATTTGAAAAATTTATACTATATTTGTTATATTTTATAGAACATTGACTTAAGCTCTGTAGGGGCACATTAACGTCATAGCATGATACATTTGAGTAAACAGCAGTCAGGATTTGCACTGATCACTTTAAATTGAGCAAGGTATTTTTTCCCCACTACAAGTTTAATTGCATCCAATTATTCTGTCTTTCAAAATATATACAATATTTATCAAAGGCCAATAGTGGCAATGTGAATTAAGTCTATTTATTACTATCATAAAGTACAAGTACTAATTTTGAAACGATTACAAATTCTGTAGGCGTTGCTTTCCTCTCAAAACACAAGTATTACCGTTGTCTTCGGAACAAAGCCTGTTGTACTGATTTACCCAACTTAGAAGTCACTCTAAGGTACCCAGTGATCTCTGTCAACTGAGTGCTGCACTAATGTGTATAACAATTTAGTGATATTATTCTAGATGAAATAGACAAAGGCAAATCTCTGTTACTCATCTATAAAGAAACCTCACATTACAAGTTTTTAAAAATATACATGTAAATCAAATTTAGCAAACACAAAGTATTAAACCCAGAGTGGAGAATTTGGTATTCGAAAGAATTTGAATGCATTAAGACTGTCCATCTCCTAATAGATGTTCAATCAATGTGCAACCTTCTAAGTCATGGAGACATTGTCAAGATTATGAATTGTTATGCTTAGATAAAATTAACCATCTGTGATTTACGGAAGGTTGGAAGTTGCACTGGTAGAGTATGGAGATTAAAATTAAATTTTTAATACTTTCAGCTGGCTGTAAAAACATTAAGTAATTGAGTTGTATTCTCAGATCAAGAAACTTAAGGAATAAAATTTTAGAACTTAAAAAAAAAAAAAGATAAGTAATCAGATGTCTCTATTACAACCTGCTCTAATTTATCAACTTCTAGGATAATTTATACCTTCAATTTACCTTAAATGAGGCACATTTACAAATGACAATTCTAGCTTAATGTCTTTTATTTGGTCTTTTTTAAAAACAATGCTTGAAACAAGATTTTCTCCCTCTAATTTCTCTACATTACATAAAGATACGACTATACTAGCTAGCACCTTTATGGACTAATATAGCAGGTTTAATCTTTATACTCTAACAATAAATTATCATACTTCTACACGACTCAGGGAAGATCCTTGCATAAATGTATAATTCCACCTACCTAGAAGAATTCTTGGATACAAAGGCAAGAGATTGCCCTCCCCTAATGTTACCTGTGTTTATACTCAAGTCCTCTGTATGAAATAGCTGCCCCTTTGCTCTTTTGACTCCCTGGGCCTCCACTGATCACTTATCTCTCTGGTTCAGGCTTCTAGAGTGTGATTTTTAGAACAAAAAACAAGGACAGCTGATAAGACAGAGGATCAATTCCAATTTGTGCATGTTAAATAATACATATTTAAAGGTGCTCATGTTTTTTTCACATGACAACTTTAAAATCACGATACATATATAATCCTTTGGCACGTTATGGTTTAATTGGTGTTTTTTCTCCCTTAATAGTCCATAAAATAATGGTTCTTTTTATAATGAGTGACTTCTAGGAGTCAATAAGGATATGTATTTAAAAATATATAAAAATTGATGAAAATAATGCTTGTCTATTTTGAAACATAGTGTGGCTGAGCATTGGTGGCTTACACCTGTAATCTCAGCACTTTGAGAGACTGGCAGGCAGGTTGCTTTGAGCTAAAAAGTTCAAGGCCAGCCTAGTCAATGTGGCAAAACCCCATCTCTACAAAAAAATACAAAAATGGGTTGGGCATGGTGGCATGTGCCTGTAGTCCCAACTACTTGAGAAGGTGAGGTAGGAAAATCGCTTGAGACTGGGAAGCGTAAGCTGCAGTAAGCCAAGATGCATTACTGCACTCCATCCTGGACAACAGAGTGAGACTCTGTCTCTCTATCTCTCTCTATATATATATATATTTTTTAATTTTCATATACTAAAATTATCTCTTTCGCATACATTTCTATCTTCTGACAAACGCACAGTCATGTATCAATCACAGCAGTCAAGATTTAGCATGATTCCAATCAGGACTCAACATTCCATGTTACCACTTTATAGACAAACAGTTTTCCTACCATCAACCCTCTGCAGCACTGATCTATTTTGGTCCCTCAAATTTTGTGTATTCCAGAATGTCATATAAATAGAATTATCCATTCACCAATTACTCTACTTACACTGTTTGTTTGGCAGTATTATGGACAAGGCTTTTATAAACATTCACATACAGGATTATGTGTACACATGTTTTTATTTTTCTAGAGTAATTACCTATTAGAGAATGATTTATAGGTCTTATGATACATATATGTTTAACTTTATAAGGCACTATCAAACTTTGCTTAAAGTAGTTGTAAAATTTTACATTTCCAGCAATATATGAGAGTTTCACTTGCTCTGCATCTTTGCAAGCACTGGTTATTAACTGTTCTTTATTTTAGTTCTTCTAATATACACATAGTAGCATCTCAACATGGCTTTCATTTGTATTCATCTGAGGACTAGAAACGCTGGCTATCTCTGTATGTGCTTATTTGACATCCATATGTTATCTTTAGTGAAGAATATGCAAATCTTTGCCCATTTATTTAATGAGTTGTTTCATTGTTGAGTTTGGGGACATATTTGTGTATTCCATATACAAATCCTTTGTCAGATACGAAATTTGCAAATACTTCATCCCAGTCTATGGCTACTCTTTTCACTTTTATGACAATCTCTTTCAGAGAACAAAAGGATTTACTTCAATGGTCAAATTTGATGAAGTCATTTTTCTCTTTTATGGATCATAACTTTGCTGTCATAAAAATTACTTGCCTCATTCAAAGCCAAAAGATTTTTTCCTCTTTTCATATGGAAATTTTATACTTTGCAGTGTTAAAATTTGGCCCATGATCCATTTTGAGGTTGTTTAATATAGGGTGTAAAGTTAGAGTTAAGGTTCATCTATAATTATTAAATTACAATTGAGAAATTAATTACCAACTAATATCCAGTTCAGAGCCACTACTATAGAGGCTTCAGATCCTGACTCACCTGAGTTTAAGTTTTGATTTCATGAATAGCTTCAAGACATTGTACAAGTTATTTAACCTTCCTAAACCACAATTTTCTCATCTGTTCAACGACAATTATTATACTATTCTTACAAAAGTATTGTAAAGATTCAATAAGTTAATGCAAATAATATTTAGAATAGTGATTGATAAGTACTCAAATAATGGTAGCAATGAACTATTAAGCAATGAGATAAAGCACAAAGGACAACTGAATAAAAGAATGAACTGCTCATGGAGGAAGGCTGATAAGATAAACAAGTAATAATTTTAAAATGTTTGGAAAAAGTTTCACCTTGAAAAATTGCATTTCTAAAGAAAAGAATTCATTCTCTAGGATAAACTGATAAAGTCTAGGGAACGTTGGGGAACCAGATTAAAAGAATAAGAAATAAATATGCTGTATTTCTTAACTCATAATTTGAAACAGAAGACATGATATAGGTGTTTATAAATGACCATGTATACATATTTTTAGAAAACTTTAATTCATCACTTAGAGAGTAAAAAATGTCTTTCTTCTAAATCAAAGTAGAGAATAATAAAAACCAATAGAATAGTCCAAATAACAATAGAAAACTGAATAGAAATACAGGAGACAATAAAAATCAGAAAGCATAAGAGAAAATACTTTCCAAGTGTGACAATAATGAAAATAAACATACAGATGATACAGGATTATAGTAACAGAGTTAAATCAAAGCTTTTTACAATAATCATACAAGTACAAACTAGAAAACCAAGGTAGAGGGGGCACACAAATTAAAAAGATGGCTAGGATGAAAAGTGACATCAGCACGATACTGGAGTATAAAATACCAGCCTTCATCTTCCCGGCCAAAAATAAAATCTAGACAGCAATCTACAAATCAAAATAGCCCTAGCAGGGTTCAAGGGTCTATTAAAGAATCTACAGAAACACAGGGAAGTAAAAAAGGCACTATTTAAATAGAAAGGATCACTGGTGAGATTAGCATACCTGAGACACCAGGAGACGGCTAGGAACAAA